GAAAATGACCAGAGCTGAGACATCTTTTCTCAGCTCTTTGCAGAGCATTTAGTGGCTATTCGATCTTTTCACTTTTTCCCCCCACCATATCTGAAAAGCTGTGATAACAAAATAAGAATGTCTATATGCATTGTGCAGTTAATTATTTTAAATGAGGAGAGAAAAATCAAATACCTGAGAAGAAAATGGCTCAGAAATTGGCACGACAGCATTAAGGCTTGCTACAGTTGCTTGCTAGATGGCCCTTTTATTTTTCTCCTGAGTAACATAAGAGCCATTGAACTCAGAGGACACGGACATCCTGTACAGGAAATAGATGGTGTGTGGAGGGAAGGGAGGACACCCAGCAGTCATCCTTTGAATCCTTTAGCTAGCTTCACTTGAATACATTAGAGAAGGTTGTAAAAGGCTGGGAAGCAGAGATCTGCCTGGATGGCTTCCAGGTCCCATCACAGAGCTCAGGAAAAGCTCAGCTAAGCCACATACATTTTATGTTTTCCTGAGGAAAATTTCTGCTTGTTGGTCTCAGGGTTAAGGAGTCTCAGCAAGTTTTTATGGAGATACTAAAACATTCTCTTCATGTTTTCCTCTGCTGCTAAAGGAAGCCCATGAGAGAGCTACAATTCAGGGACTGCCAAGGTGACGAACTGTGAAGTACTGATGTGGTGGCAAATCATGATGCAAGCACAACTGCCCTGCTTCCTTGAGGCATCTTGTCAATGTGTTTTCCCATGTGCACACATGGTCATACATGTATGTAAAGTGGGAAACAAAACTAAACTCAGGAAAGTGCATGTGAGTGCATGCATGGATTTTTACTTTAACCACACTGTAAAAAATGATGGTTTTATGTGAAGCACAAAACAGCCATTATGCAAATGGGTGACTATGGATATGACAGAAATGTGAGAAGGGTGAGCTCTTTCCCCAAACAACCATCAGCATTAACAAGAAAATTGAAGCATATTTTGCTCCTAGTAAGAATGATGTGAAATGTTCATTGTAGCAGAGAGAACATTTATGACCGAGCTCTGCCTGTCTTTGGTCCTCTGTAGCCTATTGTGTTCATGTCAGAACTTGCAATTTACAGGGTGGGGTGGATGTTAACATGGGAAAGAAACCTGTAGTCATTGCAGTTTGCTGGGACAGTTCCTGTATCTACTGGCAAAGCTGACGGTTTCTCTTTCTAAAAGATACATATCTGTTGCCTTCCTTCCTGCCTTGTGTATCTCCATAGAAAGCATAATGTCTTCTTCAAGACACCTTACCATGCTCAAACACTTCCAACTCTTCAATAACTCTTTCCTATATTTTCATTTTTCTTAAATTATAATCATAAGTATAGTATCACTATTTTATATAGAATGTAAGATGTTAAACGGAGATACTTGAATGCTGCTAGTGAGAGAAGTGGCTCCTGCTTCTCTTGGGTTTAAAGTACCAGTGTATTTCTATTCCTATTCTAATAGAACTAAAATGGTCTCTTTCTATCTTTCTCTTTTGTTTCCACCTCTGTCCCTCTCTCCTCTACTTTCCTCTCTCCCTTAGTCTCTCAATCGGAAGTTTATAAGTGGCCTGTGAAGCTTACACTTTCAAAATCCTTTAAGAAATGCAGACAGCTGTATTTTACTTGAGTTGACAATCTTGTTCAAGGACAAAAACCTATACACTTACGTTGTTAGCTTTTTGTTTTCAAAGTAGAAAGAGCATATCACACCCCTGAGCAAGCTATTACCCCTTTGACATGGGAGAGTATGATTCAAGGTGCTTAAGCAATAGATACATGTTCTTTGAGAACTATGCAAATATATAAGAAAAATATTTTATTCATTCTTGAATTAAATGAATGACAGAGTAGTTCTACTTCAGCCTGATAAAGCAGCTCCACCTACTGCACAAAAGCTGTATTTTCTGCCTGATAATTACACAGTGTAACTGCAAACATACTATCACAGGACAGAACAGGTTTGGAGTTCATTGTGAACAGTGAACTATGAGTAAACTTATCAGAATTTTCTTTTCCTGTGTAAGGGTGGGTAATGTCAAGACACACACACACATACACACACACACACAGAGTTACATTTTCATATTGAGGATAACAGGTACAGAATGAGAGAGGGTGAGATGTATAAAATTTTAAGTATGGAAGATATATAGTACCATAGGGCATTGTTTGTTGGTGGCTGAAATGTTATTTATTCAAAAAATAAGTCATCTTCCCCATTTTCCTATATAACTAATGGTATACAAATTAATCGCTTTAGTTGAACCATTGTTCATATTTAACCCTCAAGCACAAGCAGAATCTGTCAAATGAAACCAGCTGTAATAAGCCTTCCTTGAATTTCCCCTTTTCTAGTGTTTTCTTTTCCCCCAATACTAACATTTAGGTCTACAATATCTTTTGGAAAGATGAACCATAATGTGTTGCTTTATGTTGTAGCATTTCTCTCTCTGTGAAGCTGGAGGTCACTTATTATCCTTTCAACCATTTGAATTAGGTCATTTTGTTTATTATATCACAAAATCAAATAAATAATAGTAAGCACAGCACAATCTTGATGTGATTCTTTGTTGTTATTCTTTACTGTTCTTTCAAAGTCTTAACTGATTATTGACCTGAGAATATGATATTACCGTAAAAAATCGAAATGTCTGCATCAGGTCATCTGCATAATTAGCTTTCATTTTAGTATTTTTATGAGACTCCCGAGTGTGTGGGTGAGTGAGTTTCTCATTCTTGTGCATTCTTTTGAGCCTCTTTTCCTCCTGTTGGTTTGCCTTGCCCAACTTCAGTGTGAAGGTTTTTGTTGTTTTATTATATTTAATTTGTTATGTTTTTGTTATCCCTTAGAAGCCTGTTCTTTTCTAATGATAGAGTGAAGGTGGGTGAGTGCAGATGGGCAGGCAGCTGGGAAGGACCTGGGAGGAGTGGAGGGAAGGAAAACTGTAATCAGGATATATCTAAGGGGAAAAAAATCTACTTTCAATGATAGGAAAAAAAATCAAACCAATTATTGGGTACTTACATGTCTAGATTTCTAACATGTATCAACTACATAATTATTAATCTGGCATATGATGTATGAACAAATTATACTGTATTTCAATGTACTTGGAGAACAAAGACTTGAGAAATATTAAATTCAAATTTGGGGTTTAGCAACATTTATTAAAACCTAAATGAATTAAGAGTAGACTGACAAATACCACTTAACATGAATGATGGAAGGTAAAAAAAACAATTATCAATTATAAAAGAAAATCAGCATCCAGGGAAAACGTCAAGCATAGTGAAGTACACTCATTTTCAACAATGGAAAGCAGAGAGAGAGAGAGAGAGAGAGAGAGAGAGAGAGAGAGAGAGAGAGAGCGAGCCTGGAGCTCACTGGCCAGGGACTCAGCCAGTGGGTGAGCTTCAGGCTCAGTGAGACTCAGCCGATGGGTGAGCTTCAGGCTCAGTTTAAGACTGTCTCAAAATAGAAGATAGGAGCATAGGGGAAGATGCTACACAGAAAGGCACACATAACCTGTACACCCATGTGCACACATGTACATATATAGTACACACACACACACACACATCATTCTGTAAAACACTATTTAAAACCATAATAATGTTAAAAGTTTGATATTTTCATATATGCCTGCACTTTACAAAAACATATACATACTATTTTGTCATAAATTGATGCATTCCTTGACAATTTTGTTGTCTGCTAAAAGCTAGCCCTGTACTAGTTTCTAGATATTTGGTGATTAAGTAAATAAATAAATTCCTCTCCATAGCTAAGCTTCTTTTTAAAAAGTATTCACACATAGCTGTATTAGAATGAGGTGGCACAAAGATGGTCCCCAGCATCCAAGCTTTGGGAAAGACAAAAGCATGGAGGGAGGGAGGGAGGCAGCTTCCTCCAGGACAGAGGTTCCAACCTATGTGTCCAGAGAATAAACCGTCAGAAAGATAAATAGAGAAAAAGAAACCTAGAGGAGGCTGTCTTCAAAGCCCCAGAGTGGGAAAGTAGAGTATGCTGGGGGCTAATTTAATACACTTAGAACTCAATATTGCAAACAATTTTTTTAAAAAACAGATTTATTTATTTACTTTGTTTTATGAGTATACTTACTGCCACTGTTGTCACATACAACAAAAGAGGGCATTGGATCCCATTACAGATGGTTGTGAGCCACCATGTGGTTCCTGGGAATTAAATGCAGGACTTCTGGAAGAGCTGTCAGTGCTTTTAACCACTGAGCCACCTCTCTCTCTCTCTCTCTCTCTCTCTCTCTCTCTCTCTCTCTCTCTCTCTCTGTCTCTCTCTCTCTCTCTTGCTTGATTATTGCTTTCCTTCTTTTTTTAGATTTATTTATTTATTTATTTATTTATTTATTTATTATGTATACAATGTACTGCCTACGTGTATGTCTGCAGGCCAGAAGAGGGCACTAGATCTCATTATAGATGGTTATGAGCCATAATATGGTTGCTGGGAATTGAACTCAGGACCTCTGGAAGAGCAGCTCCTGTTCTTAATTTTTGAGCCATCTCTCCACCCTGCAAATGATTTTTTAAGGTGATACTAGACAAATATGCAGAGGCAGGATTGTGGAGGATGCTTCATGAATTTAGACTTATTCTACATGTGATGGTTTTCTATGAAATCTTTGGGAGAAATCCAACAACAACAAAAAAAGTCTGTCTCCCATACAGGAAAAACTTGGTGCATCCTTAACAGACAGACAGGGAGTGCTCAGCTTAGAGAAGAGTGCAGCAGAAGGCAGCCTACGGCTGTAAATGACACACATCTAGGTACAAGGATGCAACAGGAGAGTGGCTGTAGACTTGAATTTAGGAAAGTCACTGGACTTAGAGATTCTCAACCCTAATCTTCATGAATCATTGATAGGATGTACAAGTTCATGGAAAATATTGGTTCTATACTCAAAGACTCTTTCTCATCTTTCCCACTGTTCTTGCTTCACGTGCACTGCCACAGAGGACTGGTATGAACAGCTGCATCCACTCATCCTTTCCTTGAAGGAGTGCATGGGAGAAGTGGTGAGCCGAGCAAAGCAATCCCTGACATTTGTACTGCTTCAAGAACTAGCCTACAGTCTGCCCCAATGTTTGATGCTGACTCTGAGAAGAGACATCGTGTTCAGTCAGGCGGTGGGTGTCCCTTGCTGTGTGCACAGAACAGTGTTGAACTGCTAACACTCTGTCCTTGATGGGGATGTAGCTCTTTGCTTGGTTTTATTTTTAAAGATCCTTTTTGAAACTCTGGTACCCTGTTTTGTTTATATAAATAAATAGGCTGAATAGATCATGAACCATTTTTGAACCATTGGTATTTCTTTGTGGAAAATACAGCTCAATGTAAAATATGTATTTTGCTTGAACAGTGGATGGAGTCTGTGGGGAAGATGTAATGGCCCCTTGTATCATTCCCTGGGGTTGCCTATGGGTTTAAAAGGAAGGAACTGTCACCTTTCACTGCAGGTGATAGCCAAGAACTGAGCCAAGGGGAGTGTGTATATAACCCCTTATTTATTCTACCTCCTCATAAATCTCAGAGCAGGGTTTTACACTGGTCTCTTTTCTCATTTATAAAAGAAGTTTGCAAGGCTGGAAGATTTGTTCATAATGGTTTGCAGAATCATCTGGTTTGGCTATCCAACTCTGGCTATCCAACTCTAATCATGACTCTAAGACCAGCTCTACCACCAGTGCAGAGCTTGCGGCGTTTCTTTCTCTCCACGTTCTCCATCCCACAATTCACTTTCAGACATTAAGTACATGAAACATGAAGGAAGGAGACAGCAATTCTTCACTTTATAAGCAGTCTATGTGAAGGGGGTATTTTAACCAAATTGTTCCATTGCCAGTACATGATGTCATTAGTGGTTCAGTAGCAGATCGAGCTAACCAGACGTTGGACTTCCCTTAAGCCTGCTTATTAATGATGCCCTTTTAGTGACTCTAGTCACATGTGCAAAGACAAAACAATAGCATAATTTGAAAAATCTTAAAGAGTGTTTAATGGTGCCATGGTTATAGGTGGTAGATATACAATTCAAAGGCTTTCCGCCTTGATTCTGAAATCCATTTACCTAGCTCCAGGTTCCTTCCAGTTCTGTCTTCCCGAGCCCTTAGACAATGCCACTCTAGATCAAAGACCATCAATTTATTTTAATAAATATGTGCTAATTCTAGCAGCTTTGTTATATGTGCTTGAGGAATTTTAATTAAATCTGTGATGTCTCAAAAGCCTGAAGATATTTAAAAACTGAAGTGGTAAGTTTGCTGACCCCAGTAAATTTCTTGAATGTTTTTTTTTTCTTAGCTTGCTGGATTGGTTTGTGGTTTTATCATCAAATTACATACCAGTTTGCATGACCCTGGCTTCCTACAGCAGCTTCACACAGTGGGCTTAATAGTACAGTACGAAGGGCTGCTGAGTACTTACAGTAAGTATTGCATGAGTTTATATTATGATCATATTGCTATTTGTAGTGATAATACTTCCATTTTTAAGTAGCATTAAAAGTGAAAAGTGAACCTTTTCTGTGCCAAGCATTACAGAAATAAGTCAACTTCTAAGTTTCATACTCATTCACTCTTGGGACTCCCTTGGGATTCATATTATGTTTTGAAAATTGAATTGTGGATTATTTAGGAGTGGATTAAGTAGCCATCTGAATTTATTATTTATTAAAGAGACTCAATGATAACATTGGTTTCATTGGATTTGAAACACATAGCAGCCTCATGTTTAGAACTCTGCTGTTCAATATGGAATCCCCATGAGTTTATGAAGGCCTTTGAATGTATCTAGCCCAAATCAATGTGTTCTAGACATGAACATCAGATTTCAAAGACCACCATAGACAATGTTTTGTATTAGCTATTAAGAAATATATATTGCTTTACATTTGAATCTGCAGTTTGTGAATGTTGGAACTATTTACACTATATTATTAAAATCAATGCTGCTTTGCTTCACTTTATTTTTAAAAAATGAAGAGCAGAAAATCTGCAGATATTTACGTAGCTTACATTCTACTTCCTTTGGGTTGTGTTAGTCTAGAATATTCATTATATCTCCAGGCTATATTTTTCAGAGTTTGAAGACGAAATTAGCATTAGATAATTAATCAATTGATGAAATGATCATTGCAGCTTTCTTCTAAAAAGAAATCAAGTTAACAGTCTTGTCAATGAAAAGATGTCTAAATGACACTTCGCTTCATAAACGTTTTAGAAATCTCTGTCTAGGCTCTTAACAAAGCTGTACATTCTTCTTCCCTCAAAAGGGAACATTGACTTCTGGAGTCCATTGAAACTGTTATTTCACTGATGAAACCACTGAGGTGAAAGGGAAAGTATGCTGAATGGACTCACTGCCTTCATAAACTCATTCACTGAACTGCTAGGGACAATCCCAGCAGGGAGGCACAGCAGCGACCAACATTTGATTTTAATAGTCTGTTTGTAACAAGGTCCCTTTCTCTCTGTGCAGGCGATGAAATTGGAATGCTGGAGGACATGGCTGTCGGCATTTCAGATTTGAGGAAGGTTGCATTTAAAATAACTGAAGCCACATCCAATGATGTCCTCCCTGTTCTCACTGGAAGGCGGTGAGTGGAGCCTATGTCCACAGCTCAGACTTTCTCACTTACACGAGTATTTATGGGCACGTTTCCTTGAATAATTCAGGTTATGTTTGGGGATGTTTTGTTTTGTTTTTTTTGGGGGGGGGAGAATTGAGAAATAAACCCAGATGACATGATACAGGGAGGTCTTAAAAGCTCCTTAAAGTCTCATAAGTGTTTAGCATGGTCTTGAGGTTAAACACAAGGATGCATGAGAGATGTAGAAAATCTGAAGCAGCAGAAGCAGCAGCAGAGAACTACTTCTCTTCATTACTGTCTATCCCAAAGCTCTGGGTGTTTTTACTTTTGCAGGAATTACTCAGCTAATAGCTTCATAATTCTTGAGATGACGTGAAATTAAATTCAGTTAAATGCAGCAACATGTTAGGAAGGATATATTCTTCTGTTGGGTGCATACTCTACCATTTTTCTTAATCATTTTTGACAATTCACTTTTATACTGCGACATTTCCGAGAAGGTGTTTAAATAAATAGTTTCTAAGGTCAAAATATAATGAGCAAAGTATTACAAATAATAAAAAAATGGTGGTATGTAAAAGAGACTTCTAATAGGAGAAATATGCCATATAAAATGTTGTTTCAATCAGAAGTCATCCAGATTTTAACTGATTTGATGTTAACATATTTAAGTACTAAATGAAGTTATATGAATTTTGAAATAGTCTTAGGCCACAGTGTAAACACATGTTAGAGAGAAAAGGAGAAAAGACAAAGTAAACATAAAATAATTATTTAGAATCATGTCCTAAAGATGCATACAAAACAGCCAGTTCCTCACGCATAGTTGAAAGATAGCTCTGGAACATATGGAAAGAATTCATAGCCCCCATGAGAGTAAATGTCTCATCCACTAGATATTAATGCATCCTTTGCTGTTCATAGGAGGAAAAAATAAGTAAAGATTGTTCACAAATACACCTGGAAAATAGCATAGCTCTGTACATTATTCTGAAGTTTATTATTAAATATGACAAGCTGATACTTCCTCCCAAATTCATGGAGAAGTTTACCAGGCCATTTGAGCAGGCAAAGAGAAGGGTGATCTTGCTGAGGACATTCTTCAAGCTGTTTATGATTAGAACTTGTCAAAGAAGTCCAAAACTACAGAAAGACAAAAGGCAGCTTCTGGGTAGATGGGCAAATTCTCTTTAAGAGTGCTTTAAGGAGAATCACCTCAAACAGCTGTCTCATCTGGAAGGAAGTTTAGTTAGGAAAACACTTGCACACCAGGCTTAGAGACTTTGGCGTGATACTCAACTCTGAATAAAACGTCCTGGGACCCATTACCAGCACTGTGTGTGTGTGTGTGTGTGTGTGTGTATGTGTGGCTGTGTGACTCTCTCTCTCTCTCTCTCTCTCTTTTTCTCTCTCTCACACACACACACACACACACACACACACACACACACACATACACACACACACAGAAACACCTTTAAAAGAAATCACCAACAATATGAAGAGACAAGCAACAAACTGAGAGAAAACACATACAGATTGTATATTTTTAAAATCCTTGTTCCCAAAATAGACTTAGGCATTTCACATGTGAACAAGAATTAAAAATATAATTTAAATCTTGACAAAAATTTGAATATAGATCAATGATAAGAAGCATATGAGGAAGGATTGTAGTCCCTGAAGGCGATAGGAACTCCACAAGAAGACCAACAGACTCAACTTACCTGGACCCCTGGAGCTCTTGGAGCTCTTGGAGTCTGAACCACCAATTTAAGAACATACATGGGGTGGACCTAGGCCTCCCTGCTCATAGGTAGCAGATGTACAGCTTGGTCTTCATGTGGGTCCTGAACAACTGGAGTGGGAGCTATCCCAGAAGCTATTGCCTACAAGTGGGATATGTTTTTCTAGCTGGGCTGCCTTGTCTAGCCTCAGTGGGAGAGGAAGTACCTAGCCTAGCAGAGACTGGAGGTGTCAGTGTTGGGGGATATCCAAGGGAAATCTCAGCAGCTCAGAGGAGAAATGGAGAGAGAAATGGGGAAGGATTGTGGGAGGAGGCAGTGAGTGGGATGTAAAGTGAATAAGTAAAAAAAAAAAATTGAAATTAAAATAAAAAGCAGCATAGGAAACCATGCTCAGTATCTCTAGTCAGTGAGGGAGGGGTGGAAACTGCCCATTCATATTAGTTTTCTCACACTGAAATCATCACCCTCAAGACTTCTGATAATAAACGTTGCTACAACAAAGAAATCCTGGGCATTTCCTACATTACTGGTAGGAAGAAAAATAGAGCACCCTCGTTGGTTATCCAACACCAGCGGTCAGCCCTGAAATTGCATACATACAAACAACACTGAACGGACTCAGAAGGTTGTATTTATGTATTTCCCATATATGTGTGTATGTTTATGTATAAAAGGATGAAGAAAAAGTGGACATTAAAATTTAAAAGAGTAATGTAATGGAAATATTTGGCTTGGAGGGAAAGAAAGAAAAGAAAGAGGAAATGGTGTAATTGCATTTTAATTAAAAATAAAGAAAAGAGCTAATCAGTTTTTTTAAAAAAAAACAAATACAAACTTACACTATGGTTCTTAAATATATATCCAAGCGGTATATAACAAAGCATTCTCTCACTCCATAAGCATTCATCTAAATATTCACCATGGGACTATTTACAATTAAAAAAAGATTATGCATAATCTGTCTGCTCATGAATGAACAGAAAAAATTCAGTGTGGTGCACTGCTATGCTAAAATGTGACTTAGTCATACACATTACCAACATATGATGCAACATGGGCCAGTTACAAACATGAACTGACTCGTTTATATCTTAACAGTCTTGAAAGACTTGAAACAAACAGCAGCCTATTAGAAATGAACCAAGAACAAGTAAACAGAGAAAGTTACAATGTCCGTCCTTTCAGGGTCCTGCCAATGTCCCTGGCTGCAGGCTCCAAACAAAACAAAACAAAACAAAACACCAACAAATGTGAGTCTATGATTGATAGTGTTTGACAAATGTTTCACTTGAAAATTTGAACTGATTGTCAAAAGGAGACTCACCCAGTGTATGGATTACGATCCTGCTAACTCCATATACTTCTGAAAGTTCATGGATTTCTCTAGTTCCTAGGCGAAACCCTTTACATGTCTACACTCAAGTTTTTCCTCCATCAGATGACAATCGTAACACATGCAAAGAGCTACTTCAACTGAGCTCATTTTATGGATTCTAAATTTCCAACATTTATAGTTAGGATCATATTTGATAAAATTTTCTAATGAAAATATTTCAGTTTTATTCAAAAATTTCAAAAGAATCACAAATACCAAAGGTTACATATTCAGTAATTAAACTATTTTATATCCATCTGGCCTGCAGAAACAGAGAGGCTCATCCATCTAGTCAGGCCAAAAGAAATTATGACCATGTGCTTCAAAAGAAGGGAAGACAGGCTTATTTGGACTCATCATCTGAGCTAATGTGGTCTCTCAAAAAGGGAAGGTGTGGCTGTGGCTGTGGCAGCTTCATGATACAGAGCTCTGCACACCAGGGGCAGGGATACTGTAATCACGAAGCATCACAACCTATAATCAGTGGTCCCCGTCCTCTAACTTGCCCCTCCATCAACATCACTCTCTGTGGACCTACTAACTGGTCAAACACCACAGTTTGTGTGGGACAGTTCACATTTAGAGCATAACAATTTTATTCATTGCTTTGTTTATTGAGCCTCATTTTACAGAAAAAAAAACCCACCATTATGTTAATTTCCCATATTTGGAGGACTGCTTTGATCCTAATAGAAAATGAAAACAGACTTGAGACCACCTATATGCTTGGGTAGGGGTCTTCAAAAATAAGCTAATTGTCCTCCCTTTCCTACAGAACCCAGAGCAATGCTGAGAATACAGGTACACATATACTTGCCAAGGCGTGAGCCATACATTATAATGGGTGTATATTCCTTCAGTGATTGAACAACTGAAAAAAAGCACATAATCAACAAACACCAAGTCAGTGTTGTATTCCAACCTATCCACTGATGGTTTTCCTCCCAATGAACCACAAACTACAGCATTTCTTTCTTCCATCCTTGCTGTCCGCAGTGAACACTATGTGGTGGAGGTCAAGCTTCCAGCTACAGTATTTGAGTCGCTCCCTCTGCAGATTAAAGAAGGCCAGTTGCTTCACGTGTATCCCGTTCTGTTTAACGTTGGCATCAATGAGCAACAGACTCTGGCTGAGAGGTAGGCTTCCTGAGAAAGATGGAGACCAGAGTCTCTTTTTCTCTTTTTGTTGCATACTGAGAAATACCATATTTCTGCTTACAGAATTTAGACATGTGGTGTGTAGCATTTTCCTTTCAATCAATACACTTCCAAGTTGCTTCTTGTAATGAAGTAAACTGTATATGAAGAAGTCATGCCCCAATTAGATTTAAATGTGTCAAAACCTTGAGAAATGTATTTATACCAATAGTAAAATATGTACGCATCCCATACTGTGTGTGGGCTAGAGTATGACCTAGAGAGTAGCCTCCAACTCTTCTGTTTACAGACTTTTAAAGAGCTGGTAGGAGTTTTCAAGGACCAGTAAGCCTCTAGCTTAGACTAGATTTATTATCTGTGTCATTCTAACTGCGCTAGGGGTCACTTCATTTTGAAAGCATTCATTTTCTTTTATCTCTCTTGTAAATTAAAATTGTAACTTTTAATTACCTGGAAACTGTTTAAGAGTGACAGGATTTGAAAAAAAGACGAAATTTCAGAATGCTGGGGGAAGCAAGAAAGTCAGTTTGTTTATCCCCAACCATGTCTTTTATGTGACCATTCTTGCAGAGATAAATGCTAGCTGTATCAAAAAATTTAGACTAGCATCAAGATAGAAGACTAGATAGCTTAAAAAGTTAAACCTCATTCCTCACAGTAAAGAGGCTTGGAAATATGTGAGCCAGTTCCTGGGGGTTAGTCTCTGGTGAAGGCTCTTGTCCTGTGTGCTCCCATGATCTCTTCACACAAATGTAGAGGAAGGGTAGGAGAGATCATTGGTAGCATTTCTTATAAGGACATTAATCCCACGGGGTCAGAACTCACTCTCATGTTATTCAACCTTAGTCATTTTCTAAGAGGCCACACCAGTAAACACAAACACACTGGAGGTAATGGTTTCCACATGTTAGTTTTATGAGAACATAAACATTTAGTCCAATAATCCTCCAGCTGCTGACACTATCTGGCAAAGTCAGAGAACCCTAAAGAAATTCTCTTGGTTTATTTTTTGGATATTGTATTTGATATAGACACAGAACATGGCTTCTGTCAGGCACTGCTTGCTTTGCCAAGCTGTATAAGTTAGGGAGAAATGATTATCATCCTGTAGAAGAGGTATATCAACAAATATCACATGACATTGGGTCAAGAAATAACCAAAATTGTTGAAAAGACAAAACTGGTGAAGAAAGAATCTGATTCCAGCATAGGGACTTTTTTGTAGGACAGTGTTTCTCAACCTGTAGTTCTCGATCCCTCTGGATCACATATCACACACCCGACGTATCAGATATTTACATTATGATTCATAACAGGAGCAAAATTACAGTTTTGGAGTAGCACTGAGACTTTAGTTGACACCAAGAAAAATGTACATATAGGTTTGTATGGAGGTACATATTGGAAGCTACTTGTATAACATCCTATGGTAGAAAGACAAACTTTTAAGTGTGAAATGGAAAGACATTGAAAGAGAATTCAGTGGTATACAGAACAAAAGGACATGACGAAGGTGGGCAAGGAGAGCTCTGGCACACAGCTGCAGGCCTACACAGAGTGTGTTCAAAGGTGAAGTGCTCTCTGGGAGGACTGTAGCGTGCACAGGACAGCATGACATCTAGCCCAGCTTCCAGATATGTTCTTCTAGATCCATGTTCGAGCATGAATAGGGACTCTCAAATGGAGAGAGACAGAGGGGCTTCCTCTGTGTTGAGGTGTGACCTTACAGATGAGGTATACAGAAAAAAATTTATCATCTATGTAAAAGGACAAGGTAAACTGTATTAATTTTTCATGCTGTTTTATATCCCATGACTCTCCTCCTCCTCCTTCTCCTCCTTTTCTATTTTTAGGTTTGGAGATGTTTCTTTGCAAGAAAGTATTAATCAAGAAAATTTTGAACTTGTACAAGAATATTATTCAATATTTATGGAAAAGATGCCTCCTGATTGTAAGTATATGGGTTGTAGAAATCACTAACAGTCATTTGTTGATTAACAATCATTTGTTGATTAAAAATCTTAAGCAAAGAGGCCTGTGAGTAAAGTAGCGTGGAGTGTGGAGTGAATGTGACTTTGAGGTTTTGTGAAGAAAAGGACTGATTGCCAAGGTGCCATGGCTGAAGCTCACTTCATGACCTTGATTGCCATCCTCAGTGTGTCCAGTGTCCATGCTGGGACACTAAATGTAGAAAAGGCCAAGATTTAGAAATATGCAACATAATTAGAAATCTCAATTGAGTCCAATATATTTTTATACAGTTAACATTTAAATAACTGGATCATTTGTCTCTAATATTTTATCCATGTGAAATATAGTACATGAGTGTAAAGAGAAAGTCAGATAGAATGCAAGTGCTCCAGTGTAATGAGAAGTGATATAAATTACAAGTTCTCCAATGTAATCTTAAGAGTTATAGCTTTAGGACAAATTCATTGGATGCACTTATTGCACCCCTTTATGTGAAAATTTTAACATCTAAGTCGATAGTTATGTTTTAAATGTTGGATGTGAGTTCTCCCGTTGTTCACTAGGGTAGCTCTTTCTTCAACTTGAGCTCTTGGGTATTTGAATTTATGAACTGACCAAGATTTCATCTATCTCCAGTATAATTCTCCTCAGATATATGTGGGGACAGGAAACAAAGTTTAACAAGTAGAAATATTACATTTTCACCAAAAGCCACAAGGCGTGGTTGTCACTAACTTGTAAGCAATTTGTTCATTGTTTGTATCTGATGCTTGGACTCTCATAGGCAGCAGAGTATTTGTCTGTTTATAACCTAATAAATATTGTCTCATGATACTAAAATGTTCTGTGTAGTCATGTGCGGATATATAAAAACATTCCTGTCCTGCTATTTACACTATGATTTTTATATTACTATATTTCATATAAAATATATTTTCCAAAATTAAAATCTTTCAATGGAGATTCTTTAGCTTCCAGCATACTTTGAATTATATATTTGTTACTTTCACTAAGGTTACTAGTATGTGTAAACAAAACTACTTTTCTTTTGTGATTAGTGAAGTTACTAAGGCTTAGACATTGGTTATTTGTTGATCCAAATCATTTGTTGATTTCATTTTCCTTATAATTCTAAAATAATGTCAGAATTTTCATTTATTTACAACATGACTTCTGTCTACACTGATAAATGAAAATTAGCTATGTTCCCTAGTCTGTCAGCATTTGCAGACCTGGGAATCAATCAGCAATACAGGTCCCCAGCTCCTCTTCAGGCTCCTGCACCTCCCTGAACGCATGCTTCCAAAAGATGTCTGACCCATAGTAGTGTTTGAGAACTATTAACATGTCTTCTTTATTCAGGGGGTAAATTGAAAGTAAGTTATGGAACTTTGTGAAGTGTTTTATTATAGGAAAACCAACCATTTCACCTAAAAAGAAAAGAAGTAAAAGTACTTACTAAAAGATTGCCTAACATGAAATATAAAATACTTATATATTCAAGTGATTTAAACTATTTGAAGGAATAAATGTTTAAAGATTGAAGAGGGAAAGGAAACTGTGGTTGGGATGTAAAATAAAATAAGTATTATGATTTTTATCTGAAAAAGGATTTAAGAACATTAAGCTTTCTATATTACCAATCAGAGTTGTGCTCTCAATTTCAATAAGGGAATTGTTTCTGGATACTCTATAAATACATTAAAGTAATTTCTACTAATAAGAACCTAGTACAATTTAAGCAGTATGGAGATGTTTATAATGCTGTGTTTTTATAGGGAATAATTAAATAAATATCAAGTCTATAACAGGTTCATACAGATGCAGTTTTACTTCTGAACAGGTATGATCCATGATTAGTTAATTTACAGATGGTAAGCCCTGGATTAGTAAAAGCTGACTATATAACCAAGTATCTTTGACACTTGAAATTTTATTATATAAAAATAAATTTATTACATTTATTATTTATTAAAAGTATGATAGTCTTTAACATATTTTATTTCTTGAAATTAAGATACAGTTGCATAACTTCAGCCTTCCCTTTCCTTATTTTATTCCTTCTCAGACATCTCCATACTCTCAAATTCATAGCCTCTATTTCTTTAATTGTGGTTAAATACACACAGAAATATATCATATTAGTATATAATATAATAGTATTATCGGATAGATAGATAGATAGATAGATAGATAGATAGATAGACTATAAATTAACCTGATCAGTATGTTTGATGTTACTTGTATGTATATGATTTTTAAGCAGACAGCATGGTGTTAACATACCCAATCTGAGTCCTCTTTCCTGGCGAAGACTCAGCAGTCCTTAGTTGCCTGCCATTTCTTATCAAGGGCTGTGCTCCATGGGACTTTCACTCTTTACATTAGCACGTCTCTTGGTGTAGATCTTGCTCAGGGCCGTGTCTAGGTGGCCATGTTTATGAGATTACATAGGTATAGTTTTTTTTTGACATTTCTAAGAGACTCAATCTCAGGGCAAGTTTCCTTTCTTCACTGGCTCTTACAATCTTTCTTTCCCTTCTTCCCCATTATCCTTTGTTGAAGAAGGTCTGTTGTATATGTATAACTTACTGCTGGTTATCGCGCCACTTGTTCTTGGTATTTTGATCTGTTGCAGTTTTCTACAACAGTCTCTGTTTTCTGCAATGGATTCAAGGAGACATGTCTTTGATGCAGTGTGAGACCTATATCTGTGGAAGTCTCTAGGAAGAGAACGCACAATGACCTCTTTAGCATAGTTTCTATCTACATTACAAATACTAATTCTTAGAACCACAGATTGAACCAATTTAATTTGAGCCAATTACATCTAATTAGTTAGATTTTAATGTACCTGAGTTTTCCATACTTTGTTATATTTTGAGGCAAAACTATCAGATTTGCAGCAGAATCAAGTGGTTTGTCATTGTAGTTGCACTCTGCAACAGAAGTACAATGACGTCTGTATAATCACACAAACATATATACGTTGTACCTCTTGTAGATATGTCACATAACAAAGCAGAGCTAGACTACACTCCATTCCAAAGATTTGTGTTAGGACTATGGATGGGGGCTACAGAATTACCCAACATAGCAAGAATTGCCATTCTGAAAGATAGAACCATTCTGAGTTATCTCTTTAAGGCACAAAATCTATTATCTGTTTTTATAGTCAGTTTAAGAAGTTTATATTGAAATACAGATAATTTATGAAATTCAATATTTCCTTTCAAAAGACACAATGCATATGCTGTCTATTAATTTCCTAACCTTGTTTTTTTAATGACTTACAAGTGAAATGTTTGGATTCTATGTGGATTTCTAAGTAAAACATATTTCTTTCCAAAAATGTCATTAATCTTAATGGATATACCCCACTTTTGTCACATCATGGGTATGATGAAATTGCCCTAGGCTATGTGTTCACTCAATGGCAGATAGTTTTTAGTTTTCTTTTACCCAGAGCAGAAATTTTTGTGAGCAAGTATAGTCTTTCCCAAGTATTCACTAATTCCCTGACATATGTAGCTACGTGGATAGTCTCAATTCAGAAATCTAGAAAAATGTAGTTTTCTTTTAGTAGCTGCTATGAATGTTACTGACCATTTAGCCTCTAGTTGTTAATAAGTGGGAACATGATGCAGAATTAAAGGGGCCTATCAGCCTTGGCCATGCCCTTCTGTGGTGCTCAGCACTCTAGCAAATCATCAGCTAATCTGTTCAAAATTCTTAATGCCATTGGAATAAATAGTCATTTAAATTCAGAAATCATTCTATACTCTTAGCTTCCCCTCAGCAGAGAGCAGAGAGCCTCTGCTGGAAGGTGTAGTGGGCAAGGGTCTCTCCATGGTGAGCAATCATTCTCCTGTCAGGCTTTGCTGAACGTTGGTCTGAAGCAGCTAACAGGAATCAAAAACCTATGTATAATACATGGATACTAATGTGTATCCTCAAGCATTGGTAAAAAGCTCCTTGAGCTGTTGTGGGTTTCCTCCTCCTAACTTTCTTTATACACTGTAACAGTCTTCAGATGTTTGTGCTCTCTGCCTTGACACCAAGGCAGGAAATCTTCTGGAGTGTTTTCCCTCAGGCCCTACCTGTGATATTCAGGGGCACCTTTGATCATCTGGGGCAATTCCAGTGGGCAGGGCAGGAGTTAGCGCTTCTGCTCACTCTGATCTTTGCACTGGGCTTGTGGCTGTCAGAAATCTGTCAGGTCCCTGCCTCCCTAAAAGACTTAACTTTTGCATTAAGAATAGCATCATAAAAAGAGCTTTGCTCTCAGTCACTTGGACAGACAACTTCATGTTTGAAAGTCACCGTTATGTTGTAGAGGTATACAAGAGCTTGGTAAAAGGGGCCAGTGAAGTGTTCTTCTCTTCTTAAAGGAAAGGAGACCAACTGCCAGTTTATCACATCCAAGTTTATGGCCTTTTTTTCTGATATTAGTATCCAAACATTTTCTTTTTTATCCAAAATGCTGTAGAGGTGTTATCACCTGAGTCTACTAGAAATTTATCCCATATAGACTCCTTTCTTCATGCAGGAAGACTGGACTATATAGCACTGTGAGCTAAAAGAGAAAAACAGGATGGCCACTTTTGTTGTAGCTGTTCCAAGCCATTTCTAAAATATTTGACATCCTTGTCGCATACAGTACGTCATTCATTATAGCAATACGGAATGCATATAAATACTTTTGAAAAAAAATATCAGGTTTGCAGAGAGAGTAAGTATAATATTGTCATATTTTCATCATAGATGTGAAACTGTTGCTGGAACTCTCACATTCAATTTGGGACACTAGCAGAGATGATACAGTGTATAAAATTTTGTGTCAGTCACTAGCAAGGATGAAGATGAGAAGGTAGTTTACAGACAGGTGTCAATGGAACCAAGGGATAATCTTCACTAAAGCCAAATACTTTCCAGAAGAAGAGTCACTGTGTGGGGACGATGGATTTTTCCTGTATAATT